TAGAGACGGATGGCAGTAGTTTAAGGAAGTGACAGTTGATGAAACAATAATCATTGTGTATTGCTAAGTTGATAAATGGTTTGAAGGCAGTCACCATGGCTGCCTTCTGGGGACCCATTTTAAGTCTCCTGGAGAGAGAATGTGTACAAAAGATGTAAATGTTTACTGGCCAGAGGCACACATTTCCAGTGTGGCATGGAGCCAGCATTCATATGATACCACAGGACAGCTTGTACATGCTGAATATTTCCAGTCAAGTGGAGGAAAGGTAAAAATATCTCCTGTTTAAGGGACCGTAAAGCCAGCGAAGGCCTCCTGTCTAAGCTCAGTGCTAAAGAAGGGCTGGGGTACTGCTCATTGTGTGCATGTCAGTAATCAAAGACACTTGTCAGTAATCAAAGGGTCCTTATTTAGTCTGGAACAGTTGTTCATTTTTCTCCTTTACGTCCTTCAGTGGGACTGTTGGCTTTTTTTTATAAGTTTCACTTGATTACCCACTGAATCAAATACCCTATTGGTGTTTGAAAAGCTGTAGGATGGGGAACATCTCAGATGCCTATTTCAGATCCATTTTAACTTGAATTTATTGAATGAGTTGTAATATACAAAAATATAGTTTCTGTTTTTCCTCATTTCCTTATTATTTATTTTTTCCTTAAGAAAAATCATTATAATCATTGTTGGGTTAGTAGAAATAGATTAATTCTCTATGTAGATTTTTCTGCAGATAAATGTAGGAAGCTACTCAACTTTTGTTTCTGGCAGAAAACCCACACCAAATCCATACTTTTGGTTGAAGTGCTCTTGAGTAGTTATATGGCCTGGTAAGAGCTCATGTGCCTCTTCCTCTGATCTTTCCCCTAAAGAGGTAAAATGGTGATAATGGTATTGTGGTGTGTCAGCACTCTTTTATTTTCTTAATTTTCTTTTTTTCCATTTTTTTTAAGTGACAGAAACCTGATTCAAACTGGCTTTAACTATAAAGAGAATTAATTGGCTTAGAGAACTCAACAGTCCAGAATTGAGCATCAGACAAAGCTTGGTCCAGTGGCTGAAATAATGTCATTTAAGGACCTGGTTTCTACCCATTTCTTCTCTTCTCTGCTCTGCCTCTCATTGTGTTAACTTTTAGTCTCCATATCTGTGCAGGTTCACAAGTCTTTTCCCTCATAAATGAATAATTGTTACTACAATTCAGACTTTATATTATCCTATCATAGGAAGAAAGTAAGCCTTTATTTCTCAGCAGTCCCAGCTGATGTCTTTATTTATCTCATTTGGTTTGATTGGTTATGTATCCAATGGCTGAAGCAAACATTGAGCTAAGTGCATAGGCAATGTTGATGGGGTTAGATAGTGAGGACCTATAGAGCTTATAGAGAACTGGAGGTTCTCACTCAAAACTCATGCCTGAGAATGGGGAAGGGAAGTCTCCCCAACAAAATTTGGGTTGATGTTATCAGCAAGAGGGGAATGGATGTTGGACATGAAACAATGGATGTTTACTAAATGTAGGTTTAGGCTAAGGATATTATATGGATCTGGGGATAAGAGATAGAGCTTTTAGAGGGAAGAGTAAAGACATTGAAAGCTCTTTAATATCCCATGTGCTGTGCTTTGTGGATATGCTTTCCTTCAGTTGAGTGTCTATTTCGCTTTGCTTTTTCTTTCTTGCTCTTATAGCTGCATGTGGCTGTTACAACCCAAAGAGCCTAGGGTAGTCTCCTTTTCATTTGGAGTTTTATCTGCCCATTTACACATGAGTGGTGTTACTAGGACATTGGTGGTTTTAAGACCACTGGCCAGGAAAGCCTGTAACTGGGATTTTGACTAAGAGGAAGAGGGTCTGGCAAATATTGCAGGTCTAAAGTCCAGGGAGCTCAGCTAAGGTGAGGAGAAACAGTTACATAATATAAATCCTTGTAGTCCAGGGGCCTAGTCTCGCTAGGGAAGTCATCTAGGGCAGAGGTCTGCAACCAGGTGCCAGAGCCTGCAGATGTTTCTCTAGTTGTAAATAACAACTTGGTTGAAGCTGTTTGCTCTTCTTGTTCCATACCGCCCATTCCTGTGGGTTTCTTTGTGATTATCATAGTCAGAAGGAAAGAAGAATCTACTGTGGGGTCTGGTGCCGTCTGAGACAGGAAAAAAGTTACTATCTTGATTTAGGAGAATGGAAAGGAGTCCCCTATGGCTATAAAATATTCAGTGCCAGCAGAGGGTCACTAAGCTTAAAAGATCTTTCATTGTGATTTAAATAATTTGCTCCAAGTTTAAAATCTTTGGACGGAATTTGGATTCTTAACTTTCTAAGTTTGAAAGATTCCTGAAGACATTTTCTGATGAAAAGTGTAACACTAACAAAGTGTTTGCTTTAACTAAATGATTGCAGTTAATTTCTTGTAAAGAAACACAGAAGCACACATTAACTTAAAATAAGCTCACACTGTTGTTTCTTGTAGTACAGCCAGGAAAAACAGTAACAAGCTGTCTCCTTCAAAATCACATCCCTGGATGATATTCGAGCAACCTGGAAAATTTAAATACATCCCCAGGAAAAACAATTTGAATTAAGTTAGAAATCGTATTTGCTAATTCCCTTTCTGCCATTGCCTTTCATTCTCTGACTCTGAGTAGCATTAATTGAGAAGATGTGTGGCATCAATAGCTAAGGTAAATGGTGACATTCATTTCAGAGCCACGGCCAACCTAGGGCCACAAAAATAGTTTTAATGTTTAGGATTCATAAATCAAATTTTAGCCTACATTGACATTTTGTCCTAATAATATTAATTCATATATTTTTGAGAAACCACTGGTTTAAAACTTGAGCATTTTGGCCGCAAATAGATTTGATTTTGTATTTAAAAGCTATTACCTTACAATTGTGAGGATAAAGACAAAACCTGTGGAAGAAAGAGAGTAGATTTAGTTATTAGTTATTCTAGTACTCTTCACAGTGCTTATATTCAATAATTTTATTGGCCTTAGTTCTTGGCCTTAGTTCTCTAATACGTGTTTTGGAAAATACATTATTTTTATTCTCTAAGTATTTACAGTTAGAAGAATGGCTAATTAAGATTCTTTTCCTTTGGGTATTCGTTTCATTCCTGTCCTATTTGAGGGAGTTTCCAAGATAGAAAGGAATCTGCCTACTTTCTTTCTCTTAATAAATGAAGAAGATTGGATCAAGAGATGTGGTTTAAAATTTCTTCCCTCTCCACTTCTCTCCCACTTTTGTTTCCTCCCATTTATCCATCCCCAGTTCTTAAGAAAGAAACACAAGTTGGAAATAAGCTGGGTGATCCTAGAGACTCATTTGAAGTGGAAATTCAAGATGGAGTGGGGCTGCATACTGGTCACTTTCTTTTAAGAGGAACTGAAAGGTAATCTATATAGCAATTTCTGATGGGCAAGAAGGGACTTTACAGGCTTTTGAATTTTATCAATGGAGCCATAGGTATCATTTTGGGATACTTTTACATGTTTTAGGTTTAAAGCCTACTTGCCTGTGGAGGAAACTAGACATGTGAAGTATGCCACCTCGAAAGATTCTGACACCCTGGCACAAAATTGAGATGATAAATTCTTGTAAGATTCCACCAGTAGATCATCTCTTGATAGATATTTGAACATGCCCTAGAATTCCTGTTTATTGGAAGTCTGGCTTACCTAGCAACTGAGTGAGGCTGCCTACTGAATGGCGTTTTGAAAAGTTCAGACTTACAATTTCCTATTTTGCTTTTTCTCCATTATGAGTCTTACCAGTCCTATCACAAACTTTTGTGGGAAAGTGGTTTTTCAGCTACAAAGGTATTTGTGCATTTTGCCCAAGACATATGTCGTCCTCAAGAATATATAACTGTCATGTTCTGTATTGACCTGGGAATCAGGATCACATTACCACAAGTAGCTAGAAGATTTTATTGATTGTAAGCCAGGGAATGGTCTGATTGATTTTATCCTGCAAGTCAAAAAAAAAAAAAAATATATATATATATATAGCTGTTTTAGAAGGACAGACAGACAGACACACACACACACACACACACACGTGCGTACACATGGCTAAGAGCGAAGTTGGTTGTTGGTTGAGAAGCAGATCAGAACCTTGGAGAGCTCAAGATAAAGGAGGGGCAGAACCACAATCAGAAGCTTCCATGGCTTCCATGACTGCTCCCAAAAACTCCCAAAAATGGATGAGTTTTTCTGGAGCAACAGCCAGCTCCACTCTGCTTATTGTTAAATCCTACATATGTAGGATTTAAGAAGATAAATCCCTTTTACTCCAAGCATGAGCTGCATATTTGTTGACTAATTTGATAATTTGTGGCTAAAGTCTTAAAAACAAAAACTGAAAGGAAAGAAACAAAGGGACATACTTTTCTTTAGCACGTTTTTGTGAAGATCCTATGCTGTTCCTCCATGGCCATGTTGTGATTACGGATTCCACTTAGCAGGGCTTCTGGTATTGAGATGAAAGTCACATATAGGACGGGCGGAGGTAAAGTTAAGATTTCACTGAACTATTCACTGTGTATTGGACTAGATCAATTTTTCCAAAAAAAGATTCTTTTCAAATAACATTTTTGATAAAACTCCAACCAAGCCAAACTAAAACAAAAACTAGAAGAACAGAGATGTTCTCGTTGAAACAGGGTTTGGAAGGTCTGAAGTGCCTTCTGTTCAGACTAATTCTGGCTCCACCAGAAGCCCCTAAACACAGGTCGCAAATCACCATGTTTTACTGGCGTACATTCAGTTTACTTGTCAGACACAGTTCCTAAGTAAGTGTGAGGACTTATCCTGTGTTTCTAGGAATACTTTTACTGGCCCAAATTAATCCCAGAAGTGGCCATTTATTGCTGTCTACTTAGGTATTCATTTGGATGGCAGATATTTGCATTTCTTTCTTTTCTTTTTTTTTTTTTTTTGTCACTCAACTTGTTTATGGTAAGTCTCAGCTTCAATATGAAGCTGTTTTTTTTTTTTTTTTTTTTTTTTTTAATCAAAACCCTGCATTTTACATGCTAAATATCTTGGCAAGTAGGTTGTTAAACATAGTAATGAACTTAAGACAGCAAGAGTGAGGAGTTAACAAAAGCTAAACATTGCAGCCTAAACAAAATTCATACAAAAAATAAACTATCACTGGTTACATAAAATTTTCCTGACTGGTTAAAACTTAGTATAAAATATGCATTTTAGAATCCTTAGCTATCAAGTTCAAAAAGTACCAGTGTCTATTTAAAATAATTCCTTTCCCAAGCCAAAGTGTAATCAAAATTATTTCAAATGGCATAACACATTCTAATGCTAAAAAATATTCATGATTATTGAAGTGGAGGTAAATCCCAGAGCTTTTGGGACTTTCTCATGCTGCAAATGGCTGTTTCTCTAGTTCACTCAAAGCAGCATATGACAGCATCCAAGGATGACACTAAGCTCAGTAAAGGGCAAGACTGCTGGTAGCCAGCTCTGACCTCCCCGTGAAGCATGGCTGCTGTGTCCACAATACGGATGTGTGAGGATCAAAGGCACACTATTCTGCTAGCTAAAGAGAGAGCAAACCACCCCCTCCAACCTCCTTCCCCAGGTAAATAAAAGTATATAAGGGGAAAAAATTAAAATACACTTATTTACAGAATAAGGGTTTTGAAATATTAATGTAATCCCTCCTTCAAAAATTTTAACTAGAGTCATCTGGTCATTTCTGATCACATCTTAAAGATGTATCCAGATTCAATTTCGGTTGGTTTATCCTTAGACACTTCTAGTCAAAAGTATTGATTTTATTCCCAAATATCTTAACCACTAGTACGACTGCAGTGTATTATCTCCCAGAGTTATCAAGCGCTATAAGAGAAAAAAATAGATGTTCAAGCAGCAGGCAACATTTATGGCCCTTTCACACAGTGGCATCTGAGTGGCTACTGAATAGTCCAGGAATAATTCTAAAAACAAGAAAATTCATGCATTTTAGTAAATATGTTGTAGTTTTCACAGTTGCAATTTCCTCAGACATTGTGCTTTCTTTATAAGGGAATCCTGATTTTTCTGAATGTTATGGTGAGTCAGGACTTTAACTAGCAGTCTTCTTTTTCTTCTTCTTACTGTGTTTCTTATGCTTCTTTTTCTTTCTTTCTTTTTTTTTTTTTTCTGTTGCTTTTTCTTGTTCTTCACTGCTTTTCATCTTTTTTGCTCATACCTCCTCAATATACTCTGATTCTGACAAGGACTCTGATGATAAAGGTTTGTCTTCTGAGTATATCTTTCTCTTTTTTCTGAGTCCTTTAATGTCCTTTTCTTTCTCAGTGGCATCTTTTGACTTCTTTTTCTTTTTAAAACTATCCTTACTGTCTGATTCAGTTTCTGATTTGGACCTTTCAGAAGATTTATGTGAACGGTTCTTCTTTCTCTTTCTCCGTTTTCCTTGTCTCTTATCCTTATCTTCAGAATCTGAAGAACTGCTGGAAGAATCAGAGCTTGATGAAGAAGAAGATGAATACCTACCAGATTTTTTCTTTTTTCTTTCTCTGTCGCTTTTTAGATGAGCTCTCACTTCCACTTAACAATTTCCCCCTGTGTTTTTCTAGTTCTTTCTTCCAGTTCTCATTCATTTTATTCAGCCAAAGCCCTGGAGCCTTTCTTTTCCTTTTCTGGTTGCTCTTTTACTTCTTTCCAGGTAGGCCTTGGTCAATTAAGATAATCCTGTATTGTTGGCCCTGAAGACTGGATTGAACCCCTTGATCTTGCCATTGCTGTTGGATGCATCTAGGCCACCCATTTGTCCCACTTCCCCATGGTGCTGGGCTGAGCGCACAGTTGCACACCGAGGGAAACCTGGCCAGAGAAACGGCCGAAGTGGGCCCTCCGCAGGTGCATTTCTTTCTGATTAGCTTCTGTGCATCCCAGAATCCACTGTGTTTTAGACTGTAATGAACAACTTCAAACATCATAGCAACAATCTCATCAGACTCTATAGGCTCTGCTTACAAGGGGGAAGAGAATTATTTAGAATATTTGAAAATAAAGCCATGGAGGATCACAGAACTACCCTGTTTAATTTTTTTTGCCTTACCAATATTTATTTCTATGAGTGTGCTACAGTTTGTAGTAATGAAGGGTACTACTATGATATTCTTTCTTGTGTCCACTTCATTTTGTTCTTAATAGTTGAATCTTCTCAAGAACAAAATCCCAAAATATAATCTGCAAGTGAAAACCATAAGGGATATATATGATTGGCAGTGCTGTGGTACCTTTTTTTGTTTGCCATATGACTATAAATATTTGAACAGTAGTTACATGGAAGAAGGAGTAGACTTGCTTTTCTTAATCCAGCTTCTCTTTCTCCCATCCTCAAATTCATGTTATGTCCACTCGACTTTTCAAAATTTGTAACTTGTTATATTTGAAGAAATTAGGAAAATATGTTTAAAATGATTTCATTTCAATTGTTTTAGATGATATATTAAAGGAATTATATATACTTAACAAAATGTACAGTATAAACACTTATTGTTGATAATACTTGATCCTCTTACAAATAGGTCAATAGCAAATTTATTTTTGTTGTTATCCTTGGTGTTCTCCAGATGGAGTGACATTTAAAAACATCGTGCTTGTTCAGTTCCAGTTTTGTTAGGAATGTAAAATGTTATTGGTGATTTCCTAAGACTTGCCATTTATTTTTATTTTTTCTGCATATTCCATATAATTTATTCATGATTATAGACATTAGAAGTTTAAAATTAGAATTTCCCTAATGCACTATTACTTTCTATGTTGTAGAAAGATTTTTTTCTTTTTTAACAGCATTATTGAGATCTAATTGATATATAACTCATCCATTTGAAATATAAAATTCAGTTGTTTTTAGTATATCCACAGAGTCGTGCAGTCATCAATTACCATAGTGAATTTAGAACATTTTAATCATTCCCAAAAAGAAACCATGTGCCCATTAGCAGTTCTCATTTCCCCCCAAGTCCCCAGCCCTAGGCAACCACTAATTTACAGTCTATCCCTGTAGATTTGGCTTTTCTAGACATTTTGTATAAATGGATTCATACAATGTGTGGCCTTTAGGTCTGCCTTCTTGCACAGCTTAATGTTTCAAGGTTGATCCCTGTCATTGCATGAATCAGTATTTCCTTTCTTTTTATTGTGGAGTGATACTCCATTGTATGTATGTACATATTGTATTTATTCATACGTTAGTTGATGGACATTTGGGTTGTTTGTACTTTTTATCTATTAGGAATAATGCTACTATGAACATTTGTATACAGGTTTTTTTTTTAATTTTTAATTTTTGTATTTCAGTAGGTTTTGGGAAACAGGTGGTATTTGGTTATATGAATAAGTTCTTTAGTGATAATTTCTGAGATTTTGGTGCATCCATCACCCCAGCAGTGTACGCTGTGCCCAATGTGTGGTCTTTTATTTCATGCCACCCTCACCCTTTCCTGAGTCCCCAAAGTCCAATATGTCATTCTTATACCTTTGTGTCCTCATTCTTATACCTTTGTGTCCTTGTAGCTCTTAGCTCCCACATGTGAGAGCATATGATGTTTGTTTTTTTATTCTTGAGTTACTTCACTTAGAGTAATAGTCTCCAGTTCCATCCAGGTTGCTGTGAATGCCATTATTTCATTACTTTTTATGACTCAGTAGTTTTCATATATGTGTGTGTGTGTGTATGTGTGTGTATATATATATACACACACATACACACACACACACACACCACATTTTCTTTATCCACTTGTTGATTGATATTTGGGCTGGTTCCCCATTTTTGCAATTGCAAATTGTGCTGCTGTAAACATGCGTGTGCAAGTATCTTTTTCATATAATGTTTCCTCTGGGTGGATACCTAGTAGTGCAATTGCTGGATCAAAAGGTAGATCTACTTTCAGTTCTTTAAGGAATCTCCACACTGTTTTCCATAGTGGTTGTACTAGTTTACATTCCTATCAACAATGTCAAAGTGTTCCCTTTTCACCACATCCACGCCATCTGTTGGTTTTTGATTTTGGCCATTCTTGCAGGGTGAGGTGGTATTGTATTATGGTTTCGATTTGCATTTCCCTGATAATTAGTGATGTTAGCATTTTTCCAAATGCTTGTTGGCCATTTGTATATCTTCTTCTGAGAATTGTCCGTTCATGTCCTTAGTCCACTTTTTAAAAAATTTTACTTTAAGTTCTGGGATACATGTGCAGGACGTGCAGGTTTGTTACATAGGTATATATGAGCCAGGGTAGTTCGCTGCATCTATCAAACCATCATCTAGGTTTTAAGGCCTGCATGCATTATGTATTTGTCCTAATGCTCTCCCTTCCCTTACCCCCCAACCCCTGACAGGCCCTGGTGTGTGATGTTCCTCTCCCTGTGTCCATATGTTCTCATTGTTCAATTCCCACTTAATGAGCGTGAGCATGCTGTGTTTGATTTTCTGTTCCTGTTAGCTTTCTGAGAATGATAGCTTCCAGATTCATCCATGTCCCTGAAAAGGACATGAACTCATTCTTTTTTATGACTGCATAGTATTCCATGGTATATATGTGCCATATTTCTTTATCCAGTCTATCACTGATAGGCATTTGGATTGGTTCCAAGTCTTTGCTATTGTAAATAGTGCTGCAATAAACATAGGTGTGCATGTGTCTTACTTTTTAATAAGATTATTTGTTTTTTTCTTGCCGATATGTTTGAGTCCTTTGTAGATTCTGGATATTAGTTGTTTGTCAGATGTATAGATTGTGAAGATTTTCTCCCACTCTATGGGTTGTCTGTTTACTCTGCTGATAGTTTCTTTTGCTGTGCAGAAGCTTTTTAGTTTAATTAAGTCCCACCTGTTTATCTTTGTTTTTGTCTCATTTGCTTTTGGATTCTTGGTCATGAAGTCTTTGCCTAAGCCAGTGTCTAGAAGGGTTTTTCCTATGTTATCTTATAGAATCTTTATGGTTTCAGGTCTTGGATTTCAGTCTTTCATCCATCTTGAGTTGATTTTCATATAAGGTGAGAGCTGAGGATCCAGTTTCATTCTTCTACAGGTGGCTTGCCAATTATTTCAGCACCATTTGTTGAATAGGATGTCCTTTCCTCACTTTATGTTTTTGTTTGCTATGTTGAAGATCAAATGGCTGTAAGTATTTGGCTTTGTTTCTGAGTTCTCTATTCTGTTCCATTGGCCTATGTGCCTATTTTTATACCAGTAACATGCTGTTTTGGTGACTATGACCTTATAGTATAGTTTGAAGTTGGGTAATGTGATGCCTCCAAATTTGTTTTTTGCTTAGTAAGACTTTGCATTTAGATGAATGCAACACAAGAGTTTTGGCTAAGGAAGGCACAATAAACTGCTTCAACTGTGACCACTACACTTTAGCATGTTGCATTCGCTTTCTGAAAATGTTCCACGAGGCTCAGAATTTAAGAAATAGTAAATTCAAAGTTACTTGAAGCATATGTATTTAGGGCTAAATGATGCAAGATTTGTTTTCCAGAAGGTTATGGCACTGGCTAACTTTTTTAGTTGTTTAGAAAAGACAATTGGAGTCTGACCTTATAAAATGTAAAAATGACAAATGGAATTTCTTAAACTTTGAGATTGAAAAAGTTTGAAATGAAATATGTGAAGTGTGAAATAAAATATGTGAAGTATGCTATTATGTTTTCTTAAAAGTTATATTTCCATTATGAAAGTATGTTCATGTCTTATGTATACATACATCCATATACATGTATATACACTCAGAAAATTTGGAAAATACAGAAAAACAGGAAGAAGAAAAAAACTCTTTTAAATAGCTTCCAACTCTGGATTTCAGTTATTAACATTTCTGCCAATAAATTTTCCATGTATAGATGGTTTTTGCTATGGAAGGTTGGGAGAGGATGGGGATAGCCAAATTGTAATCATAATGTGTATGCAGATTTGTGTCTCTCCTCATTTAATATTTTAACAAAAGTATTTTCTGTGCTATTGCAGTTGTTTATGTGCTATTGTAATTGTTTGTACAATTATATATAATACTATTACATACAATTATATATAATTGTATAAATTGTTTATACAATTATATATAATACTATTATAAACATACTGTAATAGTATAGAAACAGTTGCAGATTATTTATTTGAATTACATTAACAGTTTTTAAAACAATTCTTATTATCAGGTGTCTAGATTGTTTGCAGTTTCACAATATTACAAATGACTCTATGTGTATTTCTATCTATAAAGTTCCCCCCCCCCCTTATTTTTAGTTATTTGCAGATTAGCTGGATTCCCAGAAATAAGATTTCTAGGGGCATTGAGAATAAACATTTCTAAAACTCTCTCTCTCTCTCTGTCTCTCACACACACACACACACACACACACACACACACACACACACATGCATATAGTTAAACTACTTGTATGAGTTTACAATTCTATGGGTAAAAAGATCCATGAAATTATATCTTCACCAACATTGGCTGTTTGCTGAAAAAAAGAACTTGGCTAATTTAAGATATAAACATTGTTTCTCATAATTTTTGCCCTACTTTCTTCTCTTGTGGGAAATGCTGGGTGAGGGACAGGCCAAATCAGAGGGTCCTGTGGGAGCCAGAAACAATTTGTGGAGCTGAAGCACTATCAGGATAATAAGTTGAAAGGAAGACACTGATCTGAGGGAAGCATGTACCATGGAAGCAGTGTTTGGAGCTTCAGAGAGTGGGAGAGGCAGCACAGAGTGGCAGAGCCATGGGTCATGTGGAGGAACTTAGGAAGGGTCAGACATTGGT